ATGTCACAACCACCCTCCCCCCCTTGCCAGGTCCCAGTCACCCCCACACGCCTGTTTTCTTTGCCAAGTCAGAGCCCTCTCCCCCGGCCCTCACAACCATATCAGGTCCTGGCTCCCCAAGTCGCATGCCACCCCCACCTGTGCAGGGGTGCTGGAACAATTTGTATAGCTGGGGTGTGGAAAGCCATTAAACCAAAAGCTAAATCCTATATGATGGGAACCACTTCAAGGGGGTGCAGCAGCACCTATGCATCCAAATCCCTCTCCCCCACAGTTCCCCAGCCCCCACTCTCCTGAGCAGGTCACACACCCCTTGCTTCTCCCCCATCCCCATTACCAGGTCACTGGCCTCCCCAGTCGCCAGCCTCTACCTGCTGCTCCCTTTCACGCCCAGGCTAACTCACCCTCATGCAGGTCCTGGGCTGGGGGCAGGGCTCTGCACTGCGCTCACAAGCCAGGGCTGGCCCCACATGGCCTGGAGCTGAGGTGGCTCACGAGCACGGGCCTCACCCCGGGGAGGCAAGAAAGTGCTTGTAGCCCTCTAGCCCCTTGTGATTGCTCCGTGTACGCCGCACCGCAGGCCCAGCCGACTCCTCCCTCCCACCCCGGCCCGAGCCCACCACACTGTGCTGCTGGGGGAGCAGGCAGGTGGTTTGTTTAAGAACTAAAGGAATTGGGGGGGAAGTGGCAGGGCTGGGGGTGGCAGACCCCCCCCCCCGCAAAACTCGTTAGGGTTTTGTACTGTAGCCACCTCACCAGCCACCCCGTGACTAGCAACACAGGAGGCCAATGTGCAGTACGAGTCCCCGAGGCAGACTAGCTCCTGCTTCCCACTGCAAAGCATCCACCTGCTGCAGGCATTGCAACAAACTGTTACCAGCAGCGCTGCTGGCATGGCTGTTGGGTGCGTATGAAATGCACTGAAGAGACCTGTGAAGCTCAAGGTGCAATACCAAGTGGTTTATGTCCCTACTGTAGGAAAGACACTGAAGAGCAGGAGGCCCTGTAATCCACAGGACTTGGCATAGTAGGGAGACAGTCAAATCCTTATTTGGGACTTCCAGGGAGCAGCCTACCATCATATCGATAACTGACTGTTCCCATGAAAAGGCCATGGAAAAGCCTGAAAACGAATCAAAACACCATATTCAATAATCATGCAAAGGTAAAAAACGGCATTCAGTGCACTTCATATTCATTAGTCTTCTTTCAGTTTTTCCTTTGGTGACCTGCTTATGTAAAGAGCAGAATTTCACACCTATTCAACAGCTGGTTAAACACCCCTAAACCCCATGGCACCAATCAAATACATCTCCCTTATGCAGAATGAATACAAATACTAGCCCCATTGAACAGCAGTTATCCCTATGAACTCTCATCATGCTAACTTAGTTCCCTGGAAGATGTCCCAATAAAGTAGCAGTAGGGTCCAATGGACTGGAAGTCAGGAAACCTGGTTCCTATTTTCACCTCTGCCACTGATGCAGTGTGTGTTATAGCTGATGTCACAATTTCTGCTCATTTTCTCTATCCTTAACATAGCAATAGTGATATCTACAGTGCCTTAGTAAAGTGATTTGAGATCATTGCATGAAAGGTCAACATTTTCAATAGTGTCCATTAATTTTGGGTGCCTCTATTTTCTGGCCTGATATTCAGAAATGCTGAGCCCTGACAACTCCAGACAAACTCCAGTGAGAACGGTGGGTGCACTGCTTGGCACCTTTGATAAACTCAGCTCTAGGTAGCTCGAGATGGCCAGCCAAAAATTGAGGTGCCCAGAATGAACAGTCACTCCTGAAGATGGGGGTTTTGGTTTGTGCTGGTCTCTAATTCATATCCACCATTTGCAAGTGTGTTAACATAAGAAACAGATACATATGGTTCAACTACTCTGGTTGTTTGTCCTTGCCCTGCTGGGTGGATGCAGGACTCTACTTGGTCAGGCAAAACATAAATCACTAAATTGTAACAAACCTGTTTAAATTCATGATTAGGAGGAGAGTTGGATAAGTGCAAGCCACACTTCTCTGTCTAGGTTTGAAAGGCCTCTGCACAGTACTTACCTGAGTCCAGTGCTGGCAGGCAGAGGGATGGATTCTCCACCGTAGACATAAACAGGACACTCAAGAGCTAGTGTCTTTACTGAATGAATTTATTGTTTTTTGAACTAAAGTTGCTCACAGTTATTTAACAAGGGATACATCAGATTTTTTGTCCATTTTAAACTGTTAAATAATGTCAGTTGGTTTCTGTGAGTGTGTGTGTGTGTGTGCGCGCATGTGTGTCGTCAAAGTACAAAATCGGAAGGATAACAAGAGGTATTGCTTTCGTTTATTCTTATATCTTGTGTAAGTAATCCCCTTCCTGCTTGTACCGCATGGGTTTTGCTGATATAGGTTTTTTTTTTTTGTAAATTATTATTATTATTTTGTATCGAAATCCCAGCCTTTTGTAGAGGTACAATGTAACAGAAGCATCAAAAATCTATACACAGAGAGAAAAGAGGGAAAAGAGGATGGAGGTGGTTGCAGGAGATCATGGAGGAGGGGCAGAGAGGGCAGAGGCAGGAAAGACAACGAAAGCAAAAGAGACTAATTTACAGCAATGTCATGCAATTAAAACTGCCCCCCCTCTTGCACCCTGGCCTCCCCCCATCCCCAGCCATCACCCCCACGGCATCTGACATGCACACAGCAATACAATTTTAAGAATAGGAAAAAATAATAAATTAAAAACAACCCAAAAATAAATAAAATAAATCTCTTCCATTTGGGGGACAAGGAAAGCTCAAGGATTAAAGGTTACCATCCCAATTGTGCCTTACTTACTTTTTTTTTTTAAATTTTCAAACCTATGTACAAGTGAAACCAGTCGAAGGGGGGGGGGACAAAGTAAACAACAACAACAATAAAAAGAGAGAAACTGTCCAATGTTATCATTTAAAAAAAAAAATTCTTGTAGTACAACATATACCCAGAGGAACCCAACAAACAGCAATTGAAGGTCATAAGAGAAGTGCACTCTAATGCTAACCCTACGTTCTTAAAACCTCAGTAAAGAAGTGTTTCTCATTGTGTTTTTTTGTCTTTGACGTTTACAACCGTGTTTGTTTGTTTTAACCTTTGAACTTGGGCCAGAATAAATTACACTTGGTCGTGTAGCTCTCAGGGGAAAAAGACCAAAAAAATAAAATAAAAATGTCAAGTTCACAAGAGGAACATTTAAGGTTTTTTCTACCTTTTTTCCCCCTCTCCCCAAAATAAATAGGAATCAGTGTCGCCTCTACACAGTAATTAAACAAAACAGAAGATATATCTAACAGCTTAATTTTTTAAATATATATATGTATATATAAATAACCAAGACCTAATAATAACTTAAACACAAAAAACCGTCCTCGCCCACCCGCTCCCACCCACCAGCCCCCTTTAAAAAAAAAAGGTTTATAAAAATATCTTGCAGTAATTTTTAAAGTTTACAGTAGCTTCGTGATTCACTTGCCCATAGCACTGACTCCTCGTCTCACTCAGATGAACGAAGTGCCAGTGGTATGCACATGCACACTCATGGAAAAAAACCAAAATTATCCTCTTTTCTTCTTCTGTTTGTTGAAAAACCCAATAAATCAAATAAATAAATAAATAAATCAAAACCAGCAAATAAATAATAATACTGATATTGATGCAGCACGAGCGACACGACAATTGCATCCAAATGCAGGGTGTGTTGGAGGATCCAGATGGTGGAAGAAGGTCCCAACACGGCAGTGTGGTAGGCGGGAGTTGAAGCGTGGGGTGGAAGATGAAGAAGGAGCAGCAGCAGCAGCGGCGGCAACGGCAGTTGGTGGCAAGAGAGACTGTTCTCAGCTAGGCAGAATCCTTTCCCGCCTCTTTTGCTGCCGTATGTTGCCTTTTCCCTAAGTTTGAATGTTTGTTTGTTTTTGTGTTTGTTCATTCCCCCAACCCCCACGAGAGGATTCCCTCCCCCTCCAGCAGGTCGAAAAGCAAAATGATAAGAGTATAAAAAACAAACACAATTAAAAAAAAAGAAAAAGGAAAGGGTGGGGACAGGGAGGAAAAAGGAGTTGGAGAAAATCCCACAGTGAAACTCCCCGATATTGTCTTGGTTCGATGCTTTGCTTTTACTCACTCCTTGGTGGTTTTGGCTGAGAGTGCTCCCTGGTTTCATTGTTACATTTCCCCTTGTTTCTTGCCCCCCTCCCCCTGCCAGTCTGAGTTCACCTGCACAGACGAATGTTGTCAAGGACAATGGTGTCGCTCCAACAATTGCAACCTGCTTCCAGCCCAGGTTGTGCAATCCCATTACTGAGCAGATCTCCCTCGTGGAGCACCAAAAAGAAAAAGAGAAAAAGTGTGTGTTGGGGAGGTGTTTGGGAGGAGGTGGGGGAGAAACCCATTTCCTGGGGGCAGAGGGGGAGGCTGGGAACCTCAAACAGGACTGGTCCTTGGACAGTCTACATCGGTTTCCTTCCGTCAACAAGTGTCCGCAGAGCACAGAAGGTGAAGCCGTGGCTGACATGTTAACTTTTCGGGATAATTCCTGGTAGCAGAGCGGAAACAAGTGGTGTCGTCAGAAACAGAGAGAGCAAGAACAGAACAAGAAACAAAAATAATAATTTAAAAAACCCAACAAAACATCAGGAGGGGAAAAAATAAAAATAATAATCAAAATACAGGGAGATGTCAAAACAAAAAACCAAAACCAAAAAAGCCACAACCCAAGATCTGGTGAACTGGGTTTTGTCATCTGTGCTACCTTGTCTTTCTTTCTTTTTCTTTCTTTCTTTCTTTTTGTGTGTGTTTGTTTCTGAGATATATATTATATATCATATATAAATATATATATGTATATATATACAGTCATTCCTTCTTACAAAATTTGTCTATAGACAGTTTTGTACTGTTGTGGAAAGGTATATACATCCTTCTAGTTTAGAGGCTAGCTTGCTAAGGAATATTCTTTGATTCTTTCTTGCTTTTTGTTTTTTAAGTTATTTAATTTTTTTAAAGGTATTTATTTAAGGTTGGTCTTGTAGGCCGACTGATGAGACCATCTTTGCCTTGTCTTTGCCAGCGGGGTACTTATTGTCTCCTCTAGACCCATAGTCATTAGCATCGGAATCGCTCCGCTTGCTGTTTGCGCTATGCTTGGTTGGCGTGCCGGGGGGATGGCTCACCTGCCCGTTCTTCTCGTCTGAAAAAAGTTGTTTAATTACGTCAAAGAAGTTACTCAATGGGCTGCCTGGGTACACAAAACAGAAGAGACAAAAAAAAAAAAAAAAAAAAAAAAAAACACAGAGAGAAAGAAAAAGAGAGAGAGAGAGAAAGAGAGAGAGAGAGAGAGAACAAACAAACAAATGAACAATGGGATTTTTAACAAGAAGAACGTGATGAGAGATCCAGAGCCACGTGCATGGGGGTGTGTGGAGGATGAAGAGGATGAGCAGCAAGAGGAAGAGTGTTAGGATGGGACACCTCTGGCAGTGAAGAGGCTGGGAGCAAAACGTGCCAAGGAGGTGTCCTACTTGCATACCATGTGGTTGGGAGCAGAGATCCTACCTAGCAGGGGAACTCCATGGCTACGTGAGCCTGGCACGCAGCACCATGTTGTGGAAACAGCTATATGATTTGTTTGGAATTATTTGGCAACCCTATGAGTGGACTGTAACCCTCAGGGGATGCAGTTCCTGTGTAACTGCATTGATAAAGGTGGGGCATTAATGCATGATCAACTTTGCCTTGCAGCCTTAGCAAGTTCTGTGTTAGACATTATGCTTTTCTTCCTTCCTTTAGTTACGCTGACTGGTCACTCCCTGAATGCCCACTCATCCACCTTCAGCCAGCCACTTGGCCTGGAACAACTGTGCATTCCAGGGGAATACGAGCATTTGAGAAGTGAGTAGGGCTGGGATACAAGGGAGCAAACCTCAGCTAGTATGTGTGAGGCTGTGATTCTGCAAGGTTCTGAGCACCTTCAATCCTTGTTGACAACAGCGGGAGTTGAGAATGCTCAGCAGATTGCAGGACCAGGCTCCTGTGCAGATGTGGTTTCTGGCCGGGATTTAACCTGGTGGGACCACAAAGCAAGAACTAGTATCTGCACTCCACCCTCTTTAAAACAGTCAATGAGCTTCGCTATTATGGAGCTGGGAGCCAAAGGAATTGCAGGGTCATACGCTAATAGAAAACAGCATTAGGAAACTTTGATGAATTTAGCCACGAGATTGGGGCAAGCTCTGGCGCAGATTGGGTGCTGCACATCTGTCAGAACACAGCCTTTCATGTCACTGCAAAAATCTCTTTGGCTGCCATTTCCCCTTTTTATAACACCCTAGATACGTTTTATTATCATTGCCACATGGTGCTCTGGTGTATGAAGTGTCATTGTCCCATATCCACGTTGTACAATGGAACAACACTCTTCTCTACACCCCCTGAGCAATGTAGTTATATAGACCTAACCCCCCTGTGTAGACAGCGCTTTATCAGCAGGAGAGCTTCTCTCTCACCAACAAAAGTTGGTCCAAAAAAAGATAGTACCTCACCCACCTTGTCGCTCTAATTTTGGGATTACCTCACTTTACAAGGCACAAATATTATGTAAGGCGCCCTCATTTACCTGCATAACTATAGGCCTGGTTGTGTCTGGTAAGTAGTATAGTGTTTAACTGAGTGCAGGTGCTGGTTCTGTGCACTGAACACAGCTGTCAAGTCCAAGCCACCATTAGCTACTGGACAGGTGTGACTTAGCTACCTGACTCAGGGTACGTCTTCACTACCCGCCGTATCGGCGGGTAGCAATCGATTTATCCGGGATCGATATATCACGTCTCGTTAAGACGCGATATATCGATCTCTGAACGCGCTCACCGTTGACTCCAGAACTCCACCAGAGCGAGCGGCGGTAGCGCAGTTGACGGGGGAGCCACGGCCATCGATCCCACGCCATCTAGACCCTAGGTAATTCGATCCAAGATACTTCGACTTCAGCTACGCTATTTGCTATACGCTATTTGCATAGCTGAAGTTGCATATCTTGGATCGATCCCCCCCCCTAGTGTAGACCAGCCCTTAGTCTTGGAAATGGCCCACACCAAAACCTCAGACTCCAACACCAACACCAAACACCTTCAGATTTGGGGGAAATTTGAAACCTGGATCCCAGTTTTGTGGCTGAGATGGGACAAGTCATGAATTTCACACAAATTCCAGTTTGGATTCTGAAATCTCCCCAGAGTCCAGGAGGATGGAGGTTTCAGCTATATAATTTTTACTGAGGCCCCTCTCTAAGGCTCAGTGAAGTTGTCCTAGCCAGATGGCTTGCAGGCACACGCTCTGTTCAGACTCTTCTCTACTTCTAGGTGGTTACTCCCTTCCAATGGGAAAAACAAGTGGGGGCAGGGGACGGGGGGAGGAGGACAGTCAGGGAATGCAAGTAACACTCAGCCTTGAATGCAGGACTGTGGACAGGGTAAGTTCTTATGTGGCTTTGGACCCTCATCTTCATACACAAATGGAGTCAGCAGACAGAAAGAATGGAAGAGAGCACTAAAAAAAATGCTGGGTAGGGAGGGAAGGAGAGGGGGGTACTTCTAGTTATTCAGCTGAGCAGTTTATTCAACAGGCTTAGAGGGAAGGGGGAGGGCAGAATAAGCAGAGTTCTATTGGGATTGGGAAGGTTTAAGTTCTTTGCATAGACAGGTACAGAAGACAAAAGTCTAATTTGCAAGAATGGACCAATAAAACGTTAGTACATTTTATATGTAAATGCTCTGCATTTGGTGAGTCCTGATACAGGATTTTTAATCCTCATATTAAAATATGCAATTCCTCCCCCACCCCCATGCCCTTCTGGTTCTCTAGTGTCTGGAGATTTACTGGGCCAACAGTATTTAATAGCCTACCTCCCCTTTGCTGATATCACTACTGAATTTCTTATAATCAGCATTCTCAGCTAAAATTTTAATGGGAAGTGAGAAATCCTTAGGGATATTCAGAGAGAGCTATTGAAAAAAAAATAGGCCATTTCACTAACCCTTTCTTTCCTTTGCCTTTTACAGTAGCTGAGCTTGCAATTAAATAGTTTGTCTCCATCCTCTCTTGTCCTGTTGGCAACCAAGAACTGATCCCAGGGCCAGGCAATATGGGCAACCACAGCATCTATGGCATCCATATTCTTGCCTGCTAGGACACCCAGGGACTAATTTAGATAATGGTCTTGGATTGGGTAAAGGGCACCCACACTGATACTTGCTCTATGTGATGATAAATAAAGAAGGGTCAGGCATGTTGAGAACACCAAGATGGTGAGCGCTGGTTAACTGCCAGACCTGCTGGGTTTATACTGCCAGGAAAATGAGGCCTGAACCTGCAGCAGTTAGTGGACCATAACTAGTTATGTTTAGAAGTCTCCTGCTATTAATACCTGGTTCAAGCAGTGGGATACATCACATCTGCCAATCCAGCTCAGGGTCTCAAAGGGTTAGTATAATATTTCTGAATGAGAGATAATGTCCCATGACTGGGAGCTTCTTGAACCTTGAGTACAAACCCTGGTGGATGCGGTACAAACACCGGAGGAAGGGCAGCATAGCAACGTGGAGATTAGGTTTATATTCATTAGAAAGAGGAGACTGAGCGGTGACATGATTGGGGCATGTGCATTTCTGAGTTGGTTGGTAGGGGTGGATGTTGCAGAACTGTTGGAGAGGGGAGAAGGCTTGAAAACAAGTACTGAAGCTATGGAGGGGCTGGGCATTGAGGGAGTGAAAGAGAAATATCTTTATGCAGAGGGTAATTCATGTGCAGCATAGACTCTGCCTAACGCCGCAAGAGAAGCTGCAACTGTGAATGGACTGGGTGCAGCCAGCACTAAGAGGAAGAAACTGCAGACCAAGGAGGTGAAGAGACCCTGTCCAGACAGGCTGCATGGACTCCCTCTCAAGACCCCATATTTCATTTGCCACTGCTAAGAAATCTGCTTGACATGGACTTGGCACCAACGGGGCCACAGCACCCTGGGCAAAGCCGACATGCTTCACGGAAGAAGAGCGGGTGGTTACACCAGGAACAATGTGTCTGCTTTGACCTCATAAAGAACCTCACCTCCCCCTGCCGGAACTATCAGAAACGAAAAGGAGGTGGGAAGGATTTGGAGCAGCACCAGGAAAGGTTTGGAAGCTGCTATGGCTGCTACAAGCTTGTGGCTTCATAAAACCGTAAGAGAGATGAGGATTCAGTCCTGCATTGAGTGAAGCAAATGGCAAATTCCCATTGAATTAAATGGAAACTGGTCCTTTGAAGCCATCTCTTTCAAATGTATGTGTTTTTAATAAACTCTTCTGTTCTGCTAAGCTCAAACTCTCTTTGTTCAGAGGAGGGTTACTTTTTGTTTGCTTGTTTGGTGCTGGCAGACTCCCTGCCTTTCAAACCATAGGAACCAAAACTATAGGACCTGCTCCAAGAGGATATCCAGTGAGAAGTCTAAATTCCTGGCATCATGTGGGAGGGAGGAGTTAAGAGTGGCTTGTTCCTCCTCTCACAAATATTATTATTATTATTAGGTTAGCACCTAGGGGCCACAGTCAGGGATTAAAGCCCCATTGTGCTAGGCACTGTGGAGATACATAACAAAGAGACAGTCTCTGCCCCAAAGAGCTCACAATCTAATAAAGCAAGACAGCAGGGGACAAGTGTTTTCTCTCAGTTGTATGGATGTCTGAGGCTTCCTGCTATGATAGAGGAAGATGACAAAGGGCCCTGCCTTTATCTTTTCTGCCTTGCTAGAGGCCAACGTATAAGAATCAGTGGAAATTATCCACATTTTTTCCCCTTGGCCTATTCTATTCCATTTGGATCAACAAGTGAATGGGGAAGAGGCAAAAATCTTAAGGTTGCCACTTTTGAATATGTAGCAAATACGTCGCAGAAGACATGCGGCTGACAATTTGCTAGATTTTTAGATGGTGTCAGTGGCCATCAAAGCCATTCCCCTTTTATTACTGCCCTGACAAATCATCTATTTGGGCAGCTTTCTGTATTTCATTTCCATTTAGTGCCCCTGAAAGGAACTAGCCTATTTGGTCTCCATGTGCTAGGCAGATCCACCAGCAAATGGAGCTGGATTGACAATCCAGGAGACTGATGTCTACTTTTCCACAGAAGCACTCCAGCTTTTCCAACAATATGCCTGGC